CACCTAAGAGCTTTCCATCTCCTTGGGTTTGGATTTTCCCACTTATGTAGAAAGAGTAATTTCCACAGAGAAGAAAAATGAGTAAAGAGAAAGCAGAAATCGTAGCTATAGACACATTCAATAATAAGCAGTCATCTGGGAGTTTCTTTGATCCTAGTCCTGGGACTACAGCTGCCAGTACACTTTTATCATTCTTATATTCCTTTTCAGGAGACTCCTCCCATTCTGGTTCATTTCTAATTTGGGCTCTTACTTTATCATGCAAGCTCCTCTTGGATCCCTAGGATCTTTATAATGGCATTGACTTCTTATATCCCATCTAGAAACTTCTTTCCTCTTAACTTCCATTTAAATTTTAAAGGAGTAAGAATCATAGCTTGAGGACCAAGGTGCACCTGGCCCAAGCCATGGTGTTTTCAATAACCTCATATGCATGTGAAAGCTGGACAGTAAATAAGGAAGACTGTAGAAGAATTGATACTTTTGAGTTATGGTGTTGGAGGAAAATATTGAAAGTGCCATGGGCTGCCAAAAGAACCAATAGATCTGTGTTGGAAGAAGTGCAGCCAGAGTGCTCCTTGGAGGCCAAGATAGCCAAACTTCATCTCTCATACTTCGGACATATTGTCAGGAGGGACCAGTCACTGGAGAAGGATATCATGTCTGGTAAGGTTGGAGAAAAAGAGGAAGACCCCCAGCGAGATGGATTGGCAAAGTGGCAGCATCAGTGGGCTCATGCATGGCAACAACTGTGAGATTGGTCCAGGACCGGGCAGGGTTTCGTTCTGTTGTGCATAGGGTCGCTATGAGTCAGTACCAACTCGATGGCACCTAACAACAGTAATAATAGCTAACATTTTTCAAGAGATTACTGTGTTCCATATCTCATGTAAGCCCCAGGATAATCCTAAGGATTATGAAGTTGTTGTTGTTGGGTGCTGTTGACTCGGTTCCAACTCATAGCAAATTTATATACAATAGAACGAAACACTGCCCAGTCCTGCACCATCCTCACACTCATTGTTAAGCTTGAGCCCATTGCTGTTGCCACTCCATCTTGGTAGGAGTCTTCATCTTTTTCACTGGTCCTGTACTTTACCTAGTATGATGTCCTTTTCCAGGGACTGGTCCGTCCTGATAATATGTCCGAAGTATGAGAGATGAAGTCTCACCATCCAGGCTTCTAAGGTGCTTTCTGGCTGTACTTCTTCCAACATAGATTTGTTTGTTCTTCTGGCAGTCCATGGTACTTTTAATATTCTTCGGTAACACCATAACTTGTTGTTTGTTGTTGTTATGTCCTGTGGAGTCGGTTCTGACTCATAGCGACCCTGTACAGGGTTTCCAAGGCTGTAAATCTTTATGGGAACAGAAAGCCTCATCTTTCTCCCATGGAACAGCTGGTAGTTTTGAACTGCTGACCTTGCGGCTCGCAGCCTGATTCGTAACCACTACACTACCAGAGCTCCTTGTTGTTAGGTGCCAACTCATAGCAACGCTGTGCACAACAGAACAAAACACTACCCAATCCTGCACCAGCCTCACAATCACTGATACATTTGAGCCCACTGCTGCTGCCACTGTGCCAGTTCATCTCATTGGGGTCTTCCTCTTTCTCACTGACCCTCCACTTTTCCAAGAATGCTGTCCTTTTCCAAGGACTGATCCCACCTGATAATATGTCCAAAGTATGAGAGAAGAAATATGGTCATCCTGACTTCTAAGAAGCACTCTAGTTATACTTCTTCCAACACAAGCTGTTTGTTCTTTTATAATATTTTCCTCGAATACCATAACTCAAATGCATCAGTTTTTCTATGGTCTTCTTTATTCATTGCCCAACTTTCACATGCATATGAGGCTCTATTGAAAATACCATGACTTGGGTCAGGCACACCTTAATCCTCAAACTGACATCTTTGCTCTTGAACATTTGAAACCTATCCACCATGGGTCCTGCTGGTATTTAAAATACCGGTAGCATAGCTTCCAGGATCGCAGAAGCACACAAGCCACCATAGTATGACAAACTGACAGCTGAGTGGTTGGCATTATGAAGTAGATACTATTATCTACTTTTTATAGATGAGGAAACTGAGACTTTAAGAAATTTAAATAACTTGTCCAAGGTCATACATATATGGTGGTAGTGATGTTGTGCCATCAAGTCAGTTAGTGATCCTTTATGGGGTTTCCAAGAAAGGCTCATCTTTCTCCTGTGGAGTGCCTAGTGAACTTGAACTGCTGGCCTTGTGGTTAGCAGTCCAACATGTAACCCAGTACGCCACCAGGCCTCCTTATACATATATAAAGGGGGCCTTTTAAAAGTTCATGAAAATTTTTTAATTTCCTTTTTCATGAACTTTTTAAAATCCCCTCTTAGATAAGAGGTAGAGCAAAGATTCAAAGTCTGTTTTCAAAACCTGAATCTTTAGGATTAATCTTCTTAAAATGCATAGTCTTTTTGTCATAATAAGCTCTTCAACCTGTCATTTGACCCCTCTTGCCTGATTTACTCTCAAAATGTCATTTATTTTACTTTCATCCTGGTGTGGTGCTGTAGGCTAATGCGTCAGTCTGCAAAGTTGTTTGAACTGTAAGGTCGGTGGTTCAAACTTACCAGCTGCTCCTTGGAAACCTTACACAGGGTTGCTATGGGTCAGAATCAATTCGACAGCACTTCACAACAACAACTGGGCCAAGATGTCAGTACTTGGATCCTGTCTATTAGGAGATAGAAACTCCTACTAACCTATGGTTTTTCTTCATATAACTGTACATAAAACTAATTTCTGAACTAAAATGGACAGTTCTTAGTCTATTTAGGACTAACAATGGCAAGAGAAGTCAGTTAGCTCTGAAAACTGATTTAAGGAATTCTTTCCATATCTGACCATTTGGAGGTTTTTGTTTTGTTTTGTCAGCATTTGAAAACTACTATAAGTAGTGTACGTACCATCTGTGTGAGCTAAGGTGGAAGTCTCACCTCAGTTTCCCCATCTTTTTGATGGGAAGAATGATGTAGGCATCTGTATTTCTGGATTACTGGTCATGTGAATATTTAAATGCAGGCACAGAGTAAACGCTATTCTAAAATCAATTCCTGTCTTCTGTTATATGAGTTTCAGACTCAAGAGAGAAGAATGGAGTTTAAGCAAAACATACTTGTCAGCATGACTAGCAGAGTTAAGAGATCTCATTTTCAGGTTTTGAAAACTGTCCCCTGCAGTGTCCTGGTTCAATACTGTATCAATAATACATGGCCTGGGCTTTCTACACCCAAGGCCTGCTAATTGGTTAATTAAAAAGTAAAACTTGTCAAACAAGCAAACATGTAGCCCATGAGAGACTTGTTCAGTATGGGAGCCAAGGTCAGTGTTACATTAAAGCTGTTTCATCAAATTGACCTTTGTTTAATCAATTGAGTGCTAACGTAATCTCTGAAGCAACTGAGGTGTACAACCCTTGTTTTCTTGGTATGTTTGGATCTCAGTGATTGTGTCAGTACTTGGATTTGACAGGTACTTTGTGTCTTGATCACTGTATTATTTCCTTTTACGGCTCTAAAAAATTACCACAAACTTATTGGTTAAAACAACACAAATATATCATCTTATAGTTCTGTAGTTTAGAAGTCCAAAATCAGTCACACTGGGCTAAAAAGCAGGCACGTTGGCAAGTGTTTCCTTTTGCAGGCTTAGGAGAGGATCTATTTCCTTGCCCTTTCCAGCTTGTAGCTTCTAGCTTCTGCCCACATTCCTTGGCCCATGGCCCCTTCCTCTATCTTCAAAAGAAACTGTGTAGCATCTCTCTGCCTCCATCTCTTTCTCTGACCTTCTCTTCTACTTCTTTCAGGTATTTTGGATTCTCTTCTAGGCTGTTGTTAAGTGCCGTCAAGTCAGTTCCAACCCATAGCAACCCTGTATAGGGTTTCCAAGGAGCAGCTGGTGAGCTTGAACCACTGACCTTGCAGTTCAAACTGCTTTGCAATCTGGTGCATTAACCCACAGCACCACACCAGGACTCTCCTCTGCTTCTACTGGGTTCTTAAAGCTTCTGAAAGTTTTGAAGTCACCTAGTCATTTGGTTTGTGTTGCTGCTCCATTAGGTTTTTCCTGTCAAATATAAGTACTACTGTTTAGATTTGAGGAGAGGGCAGCACTGACATTGTGCAGTTGAGACGTGGTAGAGCCAGCACACAATTGTAGGTTTTTGTCAGCAAAGGTCAGTAGTACTGCGTCTCAAATATGACTGGTTACCAGGGATCCAATTGTGTAGTTTAGCTTAACTTTCCTATTCTTTTTGTGTTTTACCTCAGATAAATCATTATTTTTCCATAGAATTCTGGGTAATGAATGTTAGGGTTTAGAGATCTAGTGAAAGTTTCAGAGAACAACCTTTTCATTTTGCAAATGAACCTTCCTGACTGGCTATGGGTTGATGATTGTTGGGGCTTGGTCTTGGGTTGTTGTTGTTGTTGTTAAGTGCCGTCGAGTCAGTTCCGACCCTGTACAGGGTTTCCGAGGGTGTAAATCTTTACGGGAGTAGAAAGCCTCATCTTTCTCCCGCGGAGCGGCTGATAGTTTCGAACTGCTGACCTTAAGGTTCACAGCCCGATTCGTAACCACTACGCTACCAGTCTTGGGTAGACGAGAGTTTATTATACTATTGTATTTTTATATGTCAGAGCCTTTATAAAACTAAGCGAGTTTTTCATTAACTTTAAAATAACTAATTTCAAAACATTTATGTTCTGAACTCATCCAGGAACTTCAAAGTGTTTATGAACTGTTAACCTTACCTTTACCTTGTTTCTCTTGCTCAGTATTTGGAGGAAAAGATCCTTTCCTATCCATTTACAAAGGAGAATCAAGGTAGGATGTGTACTTATGCACTGGGAAATTGTAAATATGAAGAAACTCATGGTCCGTTCATTATAGAGTAGCACAGTCGGGGTGTGAAAGTGATAGTAACTTCATTTTGATTTTTTCTTTCTCCAGATTGTGGATACCTTTTTCATTGGCCGCTATGTCCTGCTGGCTTTCCTTGGTGCTATCTTTCTTGGAGGCCTCTTCCTGGTTCTAATTCATCATATCCTGGAGCCTATCTATGCCAAACCACTACGGTCCTCCTGATCATACATCAAGAAAACTGAGATTCTGTCCTCTCTGTTTTGATGTCATTGATGAGCAGAAAGGCACTCATCAGAGACTATTTTTATAGCCTTTGTGCCTTCAGGCCTGAGGAATCTCCATGTACCACTCTGATAAATCCTTTGACTCCTGAGTTCCAAAATTAGGATTGCATAATTATTTCTGTGGGGATAAATTCTCACCAGTTTAAGAAGGAATGGTGCTGTTTTCTAACCACCAGTACCTCAGGTTTCCCATCTGTTTTGGAAGGGTAACAGTAACAGTGATCTACCTAGAGTAGATTTTCAATCAGGATGTTACTAAATGGATTTTGGGAAAAGGAGCATTCTGGCTTCCATTATCTAATATGCAGAAGAACCTGACCCTTTTGGATAATATGTAAAATTACATATTGGATGTACTGATCTAGTGAAATGATCATTTGGATAGGAAAACACGGAAAAGTCAGAAGGTGATTTTCATGTAACAATTTAGAAAACTTACTCAAATGTTGGTTATTGGTTACTGTATGCATATTAATCCACAGCAATTTACAGGCAAGAGACTTCAATTCTCTTTGAAAAAGTTAGAGACAATAACCAAAAGGCTGACTGTCGCTTCAAATTCTCAGCCACAGCTTTCAGAATTTGTATTTCTATATTTCAAGTTTCCTTGGGGATTAAAGGAAGGGTATGGAAATGGGTTTTTTTTGTCTTGTTGTTCTGTACTTTCTGGATTCTTTTCCTTTTGGGATTTGATGACCTCTCTGTGTCATATTTAATTACTACAGGGATTCATTCTGAGTTGCTGTCAGCTCTCTTTAACTTTGTAGCCCTTTCTCCAAAGCTGGTGAGGAATATATCTTCACAAGGACTAGATATAACACAGACCAAATGAAGCTTGTTATTAACTGGAGAGGCTCTGGGCTGGTTCTGCTTTGGAAGTTTCATCTTGACTCCCTGAGCAATTCAGAGAAGACTTTTCTGGTCTAAAATTAAGAACCAGAAAACAATTTGGAAAGGGAACATTGAGCACATGCTATATGCCAGTAGAACACTAGTGGCTCTGAAATTTATTGAAATTCTCCAACAATCTATTTATCATCATCCCCATCTTAAGGTAAAAAACAATTGAGGTTTAAAGAGATTAACTAACCTGCCCAAGCTTCACATAATAGCAAAACAGTATGCAAGGAGAGGTTTGGCAGACTCCAAAGCCTATCTAGAACTAATAAGAGAACAAACTACTTTTGTTTTTGAGGTTTGAGAGTTTCAGGAAGCCTATGACCATGTCTCCTTCGCTTTCTCTTCAGACTCCTTGTCAATGTAGGTATTCAGTTCTGCCACCCTAGAAGTGTAAACTATAAAACAAAAGAGAAAAGAACTCCTGACTTTTCAAAGTTAAGGGCTAGTGAGGGTCAGGTATGATTATCCTTGAACTTGAACTGCTGTCTTTATCTTACTCAGTTTGGGAAAACTTTGTAGATAAGGCTTTATCACAGAAAACGTCAAAGGAAATAGTTTCTTAATCTGGCCCAGGACCCATAGAGAAGAAAAAAAGAAGAAACCTCCCTGGTGTGGTGCTATGGGATAATGCACTGGATTACAAAGTTGACTTGAACCACAAGGTTGGTGATTCAAGCTCACCAGCTGCTCCTTGGAAACTCTATACAGGGTCACTAAGGGTTGGAACTGACTCTAAGGCACTTAACAACAATATAAGAAAACAGCTTAGACTTTTAAATTGCCAAAGTTAAGAGTGCAAAATACTTCCCTGTTGTTAAGTGCCTTCAAGTCAGTTCTGACTCATATTGTTAAGTGCAATCGAGTCAGTTCTGACTCATAGCAACCTGTATAGGATTTTCAAGGAGCAGCTGGTGAGCTTGAACCACTAACCTCGCAGTTCAAACTGACCTTGCAGTCCAGCACATTAACCCATAGCACCACACCGGGACTCCAACGACCCTATATAGGGTTTCCAAAGAGTGGTTGGTGAGTTTGAACTGCCACCTTGCGGTTCAAACTGAACTTGCTGTCCAGTGTTTATCCTACAGTACACCAGGACTCCAATCCCCACAATAAAGAGATTTGTCTGATCAGTTATATGGCATTGTGTTCTGTTTAAGAAGTTTCTCAAGCTAGCAAAATACAACTTCTATTGTCACATGCAGTCGAGTTGGTTCTGACCCATAGTGACCCTGTATAGGGCTTCCACGGAGCAGCTGGTGAGCTTGAACCACCAACCTTGCACTCCAGCACATTAACCCACAAAAAAACTCAGAATTGAAAAGCCTTTAATCTGTATTTCTATCCTGGAACTTGGTAATTAAGTCTATTCTTCACATGCTCGAATCACAATTTTTATTATATTTAGAAAACACATGCATGTCATTTTTAAAAGTGCTCTGCAAATATTAATTTATGTAATCTTCATACTGACTCAGTAGATGGTAAGGTAACTTGCTGATCTCTCAGCTAGGGCTAGTTGCAGTCTGGAATTGAAGTCAGAAAGTTTGGCTCTAGAGACTTAACCACTTTATAATAAGCACTGGACTGAGAACCAAAAGGTTCACAGATCAAACCCGCCAGCCACTCTGGGAGAAAGATGAGGCTTTCTGCTCCCTCAAAGATTTAAAACCTCAGAAACCCTATACAGGGTCACTATGAGCCAGAATGGACTCAATGACACTTAACATATTATATAAAGTTATCTCACTCTTCTGTCAGTTTGTCATACTGTGGTGTCTTGTCTGTTGCTATGATGCTGGAAACTATGCCACTGGTATTTTAAGTACCAGCGGGATTACCCATGGTGCACAGGTTTCAGTACAGCTTCCAGACAGACCAGGAAGGAGAGGTCTGAAAGGTTACTGAAAACCTTATGAATAGCAATGGAGCATTGTCTGATACTTGGGCTGGTTTTCAGAGCATATGCCAAAAAATCAAAGCCCCAAACCAAGAATGTTTTGTTGGACTCCTGGTGTGGTGCTGTAGGATTAGCAGTAGACTGTGAACCACAAAGATTGGCAGTTCAAACCCACCAGCTGCTCCTTGGAAACCCTATGCAGGGTCCTATGAGTCAGAACCGACTCAATGACACTTTAACAAGTAGAATTCTGAGTTTTTTTTCAGGGGGGAAAAAACAGTTTCAACGTCTTCCCCCACCTCAAACACATAATCTCTTGTCTCAGTATCCTGGAACCTATGAAATGATAGCAGGGATCTAAGGGCTCAACACTAAAGATTGAAGGAGTAAGTTCGTGTGACTGGTTTCCTAACATTATATTGGATATTATAAAGGATGTACATTTAGTTATCCAGATCTGCATTGAGAACTCATCAGACAGTTTCAATGCTACTTTGTATCTCAATGCTACAAGGCCATTCTCTCCGCTTTTCAAAATTTGGGGATTGTCTTCTGTTTTCCTATATTACTTTCTTGTTTTCAATTTGCTCATGCTCCAGTTCTTTTATGATAATATGTTAGTTTTCTATGACTGCTGTAACAAATTACCACACATTTAGTGGCTTAAAACAACACAAATTTATTACCTTACAGTTCTGGAGGTAGGAAGTTTGAAATGGACTTTACAGGCCTAATATCAAGGATTTGGAGACTAGGTGAGAATTCATTAATTGGAACATAGAATATACAAAGTGTGAGTCTAGGAAAACTAGAAATGGTCAAAGTAAAATGGAATGCATTAACATTGATATTCTAGGTATTAGTAAGCTGAAATGGACTGGTATTGGCCATTTTGAATCTGACAACATGGCTTATTATGCCAGGAATGACAAATTGAATAGTAATAGTGCCATATTCAACATCAAAAAGAACATTTCAAGCTCTATCTTGAAGCATAGTGCTGTCTGTAATAGGATAATGCCTACAAAGGCCAATTAATACCACTATTATTCAAATTTATGCACCAACCACTAAAGCCAGTGATGATGAACCTGAAGAATTCTACCAATTTAATCAACCTAAAATTGATCCAACATGCAATCAAGATGTATTGATAATTACTGGAGATTGTAATGCAAAGACTGGAAACGAAGAAAGATCAGGAATTGGAAAATATGGACTTGGTGATAGAAATGATGCTGAAGATCACATGATAGAATTTTGCAAGACCAATGACTTCTTCACTGTAAATGCCATTTTTAGACAACATAAAAGATGATTATAGATGGAGGCAGAGACGATGACATGGAGCGATGGAGCAGCTGGGGACTTTAGATCCAGAGAGGGAGTGCAACTGTGTACTGAAGACTGTGGGGGGAGGGGAGGGGCGGAGTGTGAGGGGCAGGCTTGCAGGGTATACCCTTTGGTTGGTTGATGATGCATGGAGGGAATTGTAACCATGGCAATGAAATGATATACCATAGAATGAATGTAAAACTAATGTTCTCCCATGTAAACTATCATATAATTCACAATAAACCATTAAAAAAAAAAAAAAGATTATTATACTCATGGACTTCACCAGATGGAATGCACAGAAGTCAAACTGACTACATCTGTGGAAAGAGATGATGGAAAAGCTCCATATCATCAGCCAAAACTAGGCCAGTAGCAGACTTTGGAACAGACCATCAGTTGCTCATATGCAAGTCAGGCTGAAGTTAAAAAAAAAAAAACAAGTCCACAAGAGCCAAAATATGACCTTGACCATATCCCACCTGAAATTAGACATCATTTGAAGAACAGTTTTGATGCCTCAGACACTAAAACCTGAAGAGTTATGGAGTGACAACAAGAACATTATACAGGAAGAAATCTAAGTCATCAAGAAGTCAAGGGAGACAGAAAAGACCAAAATGAATGTCAGAAGAGACTCGGAAACTTGCTCTCCAATGTAGAGATACTAAAGCAAATAGAAGAAATGAGGAAATAAAAGAGTTGAACAGACATTTTCACAGAACAGCTCGAGAAAACATAGTCAAACAGAGCTGAACTAAAAATTCAAGCCTCAATTTGAAATACTGAAGGATTATTTGGGC